TTCGGATCCCACATACAGACCGGTTCCTGCTCACTGGCTGAGCAAGGTGTGGGTGCGACACGGAGGGTTGCAATCCTGTTGCCGGTCCTGGTCCGGTACGGGCGCGACACTGAGGGCTGCGATCCGTTGCCGGACACGAAAAAAGACAAAAAATAATAATAAAAAAAAAATAATAACTCCCTGTTTCCCCCCTGCCCCCAGCTCCTGGAAGCCACCTTTCTACTTTCTGTTTCTATAAATTTGACGACCCTAGGTAACTTCTATCAGTGGAATCATATGGTACTTCTTTGTGACTGGTTTATTTCACTTAATATAATGTCCTTGAGGTTCATCCATGTTGTGGCATGTGTCAGAATTTCCTTCCTTTTTAAAGCGGAATAATATATTTCACTGTATGTATATACCACATTTGTTTATCCATTCATTTGTCAATGGACACGAGTTACTTCCTCCTTTTGGTTATTACAAATAATGCCGCTATAACCTCAAATGTACAAATATCTCTTGAAGACCTTGCTTTCAGTTCTTTTGGATATATGAGAATTGCTGGTCATATGGTAATTCTATTTTTAATTTTTTCAGTAAGCACTGTACTATTGTCCACAGTGGCTGCCCCATTTTCCCACCAACAGGGCGTGAGTTTTCCAGTTTCCCCATATCCTCACGAACACTTAGTATTTTCTATTTTTTTTTTTTTTTTGCTTTTGGAGTGCTTGTTTTGTTTTTCGTTTTAGTGGCCCCCCTATCCTGAGGGTTGTGAAGTGGTATCCCATTGTGGTTTTGATTTGCACTTCCCTAATGATTAGTAATGATGAACATCTTTCTCTCTTTTTCTAATTCTCACTGTCCTCCTTTCAACTGCACTGCGACACCAACAGAGCAGTCCCCACCACTGGCAACTTCGGCCGTATTCGTTTGTGCTCATTCATGTGGCTGCAGGCAGAATAAAACACATTGAGCTTCTCTCCTTTTCAGACTGTAACTGTCTAGAGGAGGAGGACTGTGGTTTTCTGATTCCACTGCTGACTTAGAAAAGCCTGAAGTTTGGGGTGCAGGGGTTGATTATTCCCCACATGTGTAGTGTGGGTGTGAGGTCCAGGCAATGTGGCTGGCAGGAAGGGTCAGGACTGTCTACCTCCCACCGGGGATTAGTCCCAACACCCACATCTTCTCCCAGGTCTCACTCTCACGGTCCTCTACGTCTCTTCCTCCCTAGGTACAAGCCTCGGGAAAAGCTGAAGGTGAACTTTGGCACTCCAGAGTTCCTGGCTCCAGAAGTCGTCAACTATGAATTTGTCTCGTTCCCCACGGACATGTGGAGTATGGGTGTCATTACCTACATGCTGTGAGTGCTTAGGGGCCTGCCTCTGAAGCAGGGATGGGGCCATCTGGCTTACTTTGGGTACCCCTTAGAAGCAGCAAAAATTTGAGTGCAAATAGTTTGTTAGGGAGGTGCTCCCAGGAAACACCAATAGAGGAGTGGGGTAGAGAGGTGGGGAAGAAAAGGCAGCCAGTTAAGGGTGTGTTATCGAGCCAGTTAATGTTGAAAAAAGTTGAGATATGCAGATGTTATTCCCCAGAATAAAGGTCTGAATACTTCATTTCTTGGTGATAAAGGCCTACTTGGCCTTCAGCAGCTATATGAAAATCATGGATTGAGCCACTGAGTTTACTGATATTCAGACATAAAGTTGTAACTGAAAATAACCAAATGTATTAATGACCTAGGAGTAAGGCCCAACTGTGGGCAACTAGAGTTTAATTCTGTGGGGGAACTCTGGAATCCATGGTAGAACACCTCCTCAGAGTCCTTCCATTTGAGGGGCGAGGGTGTTGGGGTGTTTATACTCTTGTTAGTTATTGCTTATGGGCTAATCCCAGGTAGGGGGAGGTGGAACTAATTTCCCAGTACTTCTGGGTGGGTAAAGCAAGCTTCAACTGGAGTGAAAGCCCTCCAGGAAAGAAATGCAGGTGCTTTTGTACTGGAGCTGGAGGGGCGAGGAGAGATGGACAGGGCAGGACACTGCTGCATCATCTGACTTTGTCACTTCCGACCCTGTGCTCTCTGATCCTGTGCTCTCTGATTTTTCTCTCTCCAACTGTGGCCTTCCCTTGGCTATTTCCTCACAGGCTGACAAATGTTTTGCTTCTAGTCTCATCATTATCATTATCATGTAACCGCTGCCATGGGTCCCTGCACTTTGTATGTGAGTGCTGCACCAGAGAAAGCCCTCCAGGAAAGAAATGCAGGTGCTTTTGTACTGGAGCTGGAGGGGCGAGGAGAGATGGGCAGGGCAGGACACTGCTGCATCATCTGACTTTGTCACTTCCGACCCTGTGCTCTCTGATTTTTCTCTCTCCAACTGTGGCCTTCCCTTGGCTATTTCCTCACAGGCCAACAAATGTTTTGCTTCTAGTCTCATCTTTATCATTATCATGTAACCGCTGCCATGGGTCCCTGCACTTTGTATGTGAGTGCTGCACCAGGCTGGGGAAGTTCAGAGCCCTCAGGCCAGCAGGTTAGGTTGTCCTGTCTCTCTGACCTCATGCTAGCAGGAGCCTGATAAAGCCAATTTTCCTGTGGCCCAAGGTTTGGATAGTATCTGAACCAGCCTGGTTGTCTCAGAGACATGGAAAGTGATTTTTCAGTTAAATCAATATGTACTTGATAACTGGACATTTTTTGAGTTGGGCCCTAATTTACTCGTTACTTCAGGGATGTGGGGAAGAGGTGAATACATGGGGAACTTATTATAAACACCCTTCCTGCCTCCAAAGTTTTAATTGTTCTACTTCCTCCCCTTAGTGAACACACTGGCCTATGTCCTATGGAGAAGTAATAAGGGTGCTTTTCTTTTGGACCTTCTTGGTTCTGGTTAGGTCTGCTTGAACCTTGTAAGTTTCTTCTCTATTTGTTGGTGCATGTTGGCAAATGTGGCTTCCACATACTGATGGTCCTTTCTCTCCTCTATAGACTCAGTGGTTTGTCCCCATTTCTAGGGGAAACAGATGCAGAGACCATGAATTTCATTGTGAACTGTAGCTGGGATTTCGATGCTGACACCTTTGAAGGGCTGTCAGAGGAGGCCAAGGACTTTGTTTCCCGTTTGCTGGTGAAAGAAAAAAGGTACTTATTATTGCTTGTGGCTCATGAACCATTCTGACGGTGGCCTGTGGTCTGGAAGCTGGGCAGGACTGCTGAAGCTAAAGGTCCTTTCTTCCTATGGACTGATTCCGTTCAGGAATTTTTAGTCTGCTACTTGTTTGCAACAGTAAAGGGAACAGAGAAAAGGACAAAGGAAATCAATTTAAAAACAAACAACTAGGGGCATAAAATCCAGATAGTTTTAGAAATGAGCATATTTACACCTTATCACTTGCAATAGGCTAATGTTTGGCAGCTGGCCAGTAGGGGCTTCCAAACCCTTGACCTTGGTGTTATAACACTGCGCTCTAAACAACTGAGCTAACTGGCGCCAGCCCTGTAATAGACTAATGTTGAAAAAAGTTGAGATAGGCAAATATTATTCCCCAGAATAAAGTTCTAAATGCCTCATTTCTTGGTGATGATGGCCTACTTAGGCTTCAGCAATTACATCCAAGTCATGGGTTGAGCCATTGAGTTTTTTGATACTCGGACGTAAAATAATAGGTGGAAATAACCAAAGTATTAATGACCCAGGAGTAAGGTTCAAGAGTCTGGGCTGTAAGACAGTTCATAGTTCCCTGGCCTTCACAGTTTTGCTTCTTTCTGATTGTGACAAGTTATGTGAGAGGAAAAAAATTCCTAATTCAGATGAACAAGTTGACATTATACTCCGGAAGGAAAAATGAGCTTCCTCCAAGTCTCTGGTTCATTTACTTCTTAAGAGCCAGCACAGCTGGCTTTCCTACCACCCTGCCTTGATTTCCCAGCCTTCCATGGGAGGTGGTGATTAATTATTGGGATACATTCCCTCTATAGAAGTCAGGGAACATTTTGCTGATGACTTTCTAGCACTTTTAAGGAGGCGAACTTTAGACATGAATTCCCTTTTGGAACATGGCATGAATCTGCATACATGATTAATCTGTTCCACTGACTCAGCCTTCCTCCCCAGCTAAACAGATTTTTGGACAACTAGAAAATTCCACCCCAGTTAAGTCTCAATTGCTGTTTGATTTCACAGCTGCAGAATGAGTGCCACACAGTGCCTGAAACATGAGTGGTTAAATAATTTGCCTGCTAAAGCTTCAAAATCCAAAGTTCGTCTCAAATCCCAACTACTGCTGCAGAAATACATGGCTCAGAGAAAATGGAAGGTATTTCGTTTTTCTTTTCGTAAAGGCAGCATTTGTCTTAATATGTCCTTTGAAAAAAATTGTAACTAAATTTTTACTTACATTTGATTCTAAATATAAGTATTATTTAGGGAAAAAAATATCTCTCATGTCAAAAGCTGTTAGCTTGACTTAAAAATGCCACAGGCCAAAAATAACGCATAAAAGTGGCATTTAGTTCATACCTATATGGACACTTCAAGTGACAGAATGAAATTGGAGCATATGTTTTAAATGGCAGTAGTAGTGAAGCTCCTGAACTGTTTGTAGCTTGAGGCCCAAGTCCTCCACATTTCAGAATGGGGAATGGGAAAGCCCTATTAAGCTTCAGAAGCTTAATAATTTTGTTTACAACAGAACTCTTTGGTACCATGGGCATAAAACTTATCTTAAAAGCAATTGTCATCTGAGGAAGTGGCTTTCCAACATTCTGATATTGACTCAGACCCTCACTACACAAGTACGCACATACATGTACACACACACATATGAAAGAAAACTTTCACATTTATTCTAACAGAGTGTGATGCATTCTGATATCTTCTATTCTATGCCATTTGGTTTCATTTAAAAATGCTGCTCACAACTCATAAATTTGATTTCATGACCCACTGGTGGGTTGTGAATCACAATTTGAAAAACCCTGTTCTAGGGTGCTCAATTTTTCATATAAAAAGGGCAGGATAACATCGTCTCACTTCATACTTACTCCAAACGTGCCCCTGAAAGTCAAGTGACTATAATTATTCTAGAAACTTGTCGTATTAGTCTGTTTTTTGTTACTTATAACAGAAATACCTGAAACTGGGTAATCTGTAAAGAAATAAAATTTACTTCTTACAGTTTTGGAGGCTGGGAAGTCCAAAGTCCAGGAAATACATCTAGTGAGGGCCTTTTTCAATGGTGATGATGATTCTACAGCAATGCAGGGTGTCACATGGCTGAGCAAGAGAGAGAGCTACGCTTCTCAGTTGCTCTCCTTTTAAAGCCATCAGAACCATGCCCATTACTCCACAAATGGATCAATCCATTCACTAGGGAACAGTCCTTACAATCTAATCACCTCTTAAAGGCCCAAATTTTCAATTACAATAATAGGATTTCCCACCCTCTTACCACTGTCACAGTAGGAGTTAAGTTTCTAATACATGAAACTTTAGGGGACACAATTCAATTCATAGCACTTTTTCCCCTCTTTAGGTTATCAGTTTTAAACAAACCCACGTGAATAGACTTGGTTAAGTCCTTTTATTGTTTCTTCTTAAAGCAATTGGTCTAAAATATGGTTTTTTTCTCTCCCTACCTCAAGAAACATTTCTACGTGGTGACTGCTGCCAACAGGTTAAGGAAATTTCCAACTTCTCCCTAATCTTCAACTCTGCTGCTTCAATGGGCCCAGAAATTATTGAAGTCGGTGGTGAACTGATGACTCAAGATAATAGAATAATCTGGCCTTTTACTATTATTCCACTTATTTTGCAAAAAGGTTATGGCTGTTGCCTTCCTTGTGGATGAAAAGTGTCTGTAAATAAGGTGACCTAAGAAGCTTTTTTTCTGTCTTGTAAGATCACTAACCTTGAAATGCTGTCTTTACTTTTCAAGTATACCTACTTTTGGTGGTAAGTGTAGGCATGCTTTAGGTAGGTAGGAAAGCTCCTACTTTGCATCTGCAAATTTAAATTCTAAACTTACTCTGATTAAAGAATTACATAGGGGCATGTTATTCACTATTATCTCCTCCAGTACAGGAATTCCTAGAACTTTTTTTTTTTTTTTTTAAAAAAGATGACCGGTAAGGGGATCTTAACCCTTGACTTGGTATTGTCAGCACCATGCTCACCCAGTGAGCCAACCAGCCATCCCTGTATGGGATCCGAACCTGTGGCCTTGGTGTTATCAGCACCACACTCTCCCGAGTGAGCCACGGGTCGGCCTGGAATTCCTAGAACTTTGATTTGCTCAGGTGTGAGCTGACATCTTATTGTACTACCTGCTCTAGTGTCAAGCAATGAGGATGTAGGACAGTGACCCTCAAACTTGTTTTAACTTATGCTCCCTTTTGAGAATCAACATCAATGTGCATCCTTTGATATTCTTTGAAATTTCAAACTATACCAACTGTCACGGCCAAATCAGAACAATGATAATTTTGAATGTGCTTTTAAAATCTATACACACCTCCACCATCTCTCCTAATTCTGCTCTGTCCTGACCCTCCTTCCTTGGTTATGAATGTGTGATCTAGTAAGTCTGGAAACTAATATGCAATATATGAAAGAGAGAAGAATGTAATGATATTAGCTTTCTCAGAGAAACACAGAAATTATACATCATGAGACAATAAAGGAAGACTCTGCAACTACTTTATTAAGGATATACCACTTTCAACATTGTCATTTAACCAATTTATAAAATGATTAACAAGGAGTACTTTATTATTCACAAGTAAATAATCCTTTAAATTTCCTTGCTTCCAGCTGATTTCTATGCTATTCCCCTTACCTTATTGGATCAGCAGTTTTAGTTGGAGTAGTTACTTTTAGTTTTTTTAGACACGGGACAGTTTCACAGCATTTCAGGATTTTTGTCCCAGAATAAAGACTTTTTTGGCAGAGGACATGGGTATGGGGAGAGAGGCAGTAGGTGGAGAGGTTATCCTGCTGCTGCGGTACTCAAATTGTAGGTTTCTTCTGTAAGTTTTCCGGGAAAAGTTCCTTGTCAGGAAGCTAAGATTTTCAGTCCCAGCAAGTCTATGTCTACTTCAAGTTGGCCAGCTAATGAATGACCATCAGAAAAGATGGCTGCTGCAAACTGTCCTGTAATGCCAGAGTCAGTGATTGGGTACAGTGTTTTATTTCTTAAGAATAAGTTATCTCTCTGAAAAAGGGTTTTTGAGGGCAGCCTTCAGAAGGAGCTAGAGAGGATATTTTCTAGTTCTATCTAGTATGGTGATTTTACCCTCTTTGGGACTCAAGATTCTTAGGGAATGCTATGAATCTTCTCTCTAGAAAAATGTAGTTAATTACCCTGATCTACAGTAGCACTGCCCAACAGAAATATAATATGAGCCATATACATAATTTAAAGATTTCTAGTAGTGCCTCTAAAAATACTTCTGAAATTAATTTTAATAATTTGTTAACCCAATATATCAAAAATATTATTTCATTATCTAATTAATATAAAAATTATTGAGATTATTTTATATTCTTTTTTCATACTAAGTCTCCAAAATCTGATGTGTATTTTACACTTAAAACACACATCAAGGGCCGGCCCGGTGGCGCACTGCTACAGTGTGCCGCTTGGGAAGTGCAGCGGCGCTCCCGCCGAGGGTTCGGATCCCACATACAGACCGCCTGCTCACTGGCTGAGCAAGGTGCGGGGGCAACACCGAGGGTTGCGATCCCGTTGCTGGTCCCGGTCCGGTACGGGCGCAACACTGAGGGTTGCGATCCGTTGCCGGTCACGAAAAAAGAGACAAAAAGGAAAAAACAAAACAAAACACACACACATCAATTCAGATGCTAGGTTTTCATTGGATATACTTAATTTGTGTTTAGATTTCATAAAATTTACTACGGAAAAATATACTCACTCAAGTTGTTTGAAATGTACTTAAAAGTTTTCCAGTAATTGAATTAAGTATTCATTTTTACTTTGAATTAAAATTAAGTAAAATTGGGCTGGCTGGTTACCTCACTTGGGAGAGCATGGTGCTGATAACATCAAGGTCAGTGGTTCAGATCACTGTACCACCAGTCGCCAAAAATAAATAAATAAAATATTCAGTTCTGCAGTTGCATTAGCCACATTTTAAGAGCTTAATAGTCACAAGTAGTTAGTGGCTTCTATACTGGACAGGGCAGATCTAGAGAGAATCTTGTATCATCTATCAAATTTTATTTTTTTTCCCTTTATGGTGTTATTTTTTACTTAAAGAAACAATTTCTCTCCAAAGTCCAAAGTATGTTTAGGCCAGACCCACACAAGTGAGAGGAAATGTGGATTTCAGCCTCCCTAATCTGAAATATGAGGGTGAATTTTCTGGATATTTTTAGTTCTCTGCTTTGCTGGTGTGTACTTAGCTAAAAATGTTTATATTGCAACTGTGTTGGTATCAACTGTTTCTAATGGGACTTTCCATTTGAATAAACAAATGGTCTTTGGAAAGTACTGGATAGAGAAACTCTAAAAGGTAGTTGGGGCCCACTTTTTTCACCTATCTATTGGTGAAGAGTTGGTGAGAGTGTAGGGAAAATGGCATGCTCCCACTTTTCATGGATATATATCCAAATAAGTCATGCCCACGCTTTCATTCAGTAATTCCATTTCTAAAAATTTATCCTTCAGTACTTGAACAAGTGTACAGAGATTTATGCAAAATTATAATTACTACAGCACTGTTGCTAATGGCCCAATAGAAACCACCAACACATCTATCAGTTTGGGTTTATTTTATTTTGGCTGCTGGCTAGTATGGGGATCCGAACTCCAGTTGGGTTTAGTTAAATAAATTTTACCATATCCATATAGTGGAATACTTCCCAGCTGGTATAGATCTAGATGTACTGAAAGCCATCTTTTTATTATAAAGAAAAATTATAGAACATATGAGTATATATGGTATCATCTTATTTGTAAAGAGACATATGCTTATAAATGTGCATTAAAAAATTCTAGAATGCGGCTGGCTGGTTAGCATAGTTGGTTAGAGCACAGCCTTGTTAACACCAAGGTCAAGAGTTCAGATCCCGGGGCCGGCCCGGTGGCGCACTGGATAGTGCGCCGCTTGGGAAGCGCGGCGGCACTCCCGCCCGAGGGTTCGGATCCCACATGCAGACCGGTTCCCGCTCACTGGCTGAGCGAGGCGCGGGAGTGGCACCGAGGGTTGCGATCCCGTTGCTGGTCCCCGGTCCGGTGCGGGGGCAGCACTGAGGGTTGCGATCCGTTGTCGGACACAGAAAAAGACAAAAAGACAAAAAAAAAAAAAAAAAAGAGTTCAGATCCCCATACCAGCCAAAGAATTCTAGGATATGCAAGAACTTTTACAGTGGGGTGTAAAGAGGGTGATTGGGAGAGGGCGATACCTGCTTTTCACTTTATAACTCTCTGAATCATTTGAGTCTTTTTTTTTTTACAGTGAGCATGTATTGCTTTTATAATTAAAAATTAGCAACCCAATGTCAAATGTGCACATTGTTTTGATCCTGATTTGAGTAAATAAAAATATATTTTAGTGTGACATTCAGGGAAGTTTAATTATAGATTTCACTTTGATGATAACAATTATTATTAATTCGGTGAGGTGTGATCAGGGCAATGTCGTTAGAGTGTATGTTAAATGACTTTTGGGAAAAAGAGAGGTATACTTAAGCAAGTGTGGAAAAATCTTACTAACTGCTGGGTCAGGGTGATCAGTATGGGTTTCGTTATACTGTCCTCTTTATTGTTGTATATATTTAAAATTTTTCATGATCAAAAATGTTTTAAAAATCAGTTAAATAAACTATGAGGAACTGTTAAAAAAACTGAGTTTTCAAAAAGCTTTTACAATAATAACAGTACTGCAAAAGACGAACTCCCTAAGTAGTAAGTTTCCATCACTGGCAACGTAAATGTGTTGGAAAATTGTAGAAAGGATTCCTGAGGAATTTTGGATGAGATTGCTTTACGGCAATTCCTCTGTTCCCCAACTAATTTAAGAAATAATCAAGTACCTAATATATTCCAAATAATCAAAATAATTACCATCACCTGCTTTTAAGGCATAAGGAAAGTCACAAACAGTACTTACACTTATTCTCATACTGTATATAAACAAGGCTCAGAAGTTTCAGATTGGTCAGAATCCCATCTTGGTAGTGTAATTTAAAAGCGAATTAACTCAAAATGGGTCAAATACCTACATGTAAGAACTAAAACTATAAAACTTTTAGGAGAAAACATGAAGGAAAAGCTTCATGGCATTGGATATGGCAAAGATTTCTTGGATATGACAGCAAAAGCACAGGCACCAAAAGTAAAAATAGATAAATTTGGACATCAAAATTAAAAACGTCTGTGCATCAAAGAACACAATCAACACAGTGAAAAGTTGACTTAAGGAATGGGAGGAAATATTTATCAATCATATGTCTGATAAGGGTAAATATCTAGAATATATAAAGAATTCCTATAACCTAACAACAACAAAACCCAGTTCAAAAAGGGGCAAAGGACTTGAATAAACACTTCTCCAAAGAAAATATACAAACTGCTAATAAGCACATGAGATGCTCAACATCACTATCATTACAAAGTGCAAATCAAACCACAATGAGATACCATCTCACACCCACTAGGATGGTGACTATCAAAAAACCAGAAGACAAGTATTGGTGAGGATGTTGAGAAATTGAACTTTTGTGAACTGTTGGTGGGAATATAATATGATACAGCCACTAGCGACAGTATGGTGGCCCCTCAAAAATTTAAAAACTGAGGGCCGAGCCCGTGGCGCACTCGGGAGAGTGCTGCGCTGGGAGCGCAGCAGCGCTCCCGCCGCAGGNGCGCAACACTGAGGGTTGCGATCCGTTGCCGGTCACAAAAAAAGAGACAAAAAGGAAAAAACAAAACAAAACACACACACATCAATTCAGATGCTAGGTTTTCATTGGATATACTTAATTTGTGTTTAGATTTCATAAAATTTACTACGGAAAAATATACTCACTCAAGTTGTTTGAAATGTACT